CTAGTTACAGCCTCTAATCTAAAAAACATTCTGAAATTCTAAGAGCCATTACCAACAACAACAAAAGAAAAGGGAAGGGGAGAGCAAACAAAAGACACATTTCCTGATCTCTTATTTTCAACCAACTTTCTAGATAACATTTTTTCAAAACCACAAGGAAAACACACTCTCATGAGCATTTCGGAAGGGCCAACAGATCACACTGAAAATGCAGACAGACACAGCCTTCAGAGAAAGTCAGGTGGCTTATTCTTTGGAGATTGGTAAACTCCTGAACACAAATTTTTCCTAAGTTAAAGCAAGGAGAAATAGAAGCTGGAAAAGCAAAGTCAGTGTTATGTGTGAATTGCTCAGTTACAAGGAACTTCTCCTGGTTCAATATTTTTCTGGGATGCTGCATGTCACTCCCACACACCCAAGGGAGATCACAGAAAAGCAAAAGAAAGGCCAGAGAAGCAGCATGGGCAGGGTGGAGTCTGCTCAGAGTAAAGGCTCACAGAGCAAGGGGTCTTTATCCCATCACACTTTCTCGGTGGTTCCTGGGTGCTGGGCCTGAAGTCAAGCTGTGAGGCACAAAGATGCTTAACATACGATCCCCACCACATCCAGAGGGGTGCAGTCAGTAGCATCAAACATAGTCAAGAGGCCCAGAGCAAAAGGCTACTAGTTCATGGACCAGAAGGTCACCAGTGACCACTCAGGGTACCCTATTATTTCTGGTAGTAACAGGGAGGGAGAAAGCATATTCAGAAGCAGGCTTGAGAGAAGGCTTGGGGACTTCAAATCAAACAGTCAAATTGGAAAGAAGCTGAAAAGCTATGAAAGCATTTTAAAATAAATTCTTAATCTGAAAAATCATAGATTCATTCCTCTACATCCAGTAACCTTACTTATTGGACTTTAGCCCAGAAAAATAATCAGAAATGCAAGGACAATGGAAAAACTAATTCTTTAATCCTACACACTTACATGAAATTCAAAGTTTCTACAATAGCACGCATTTTATAATTTTTTTTGCAGTACCAGGGATCAAACTCAGGACCTTGCGCTTGCAAGGCAGGCACAGTGCCACTGAGCTATATCCCCAGCCTTGTAATTTTTTAAACAAAAAATATGTGTATTACTAAAAACAAAAATTTGCAATACATAAAATATTACATAAAGTATTCATAGCATTGCACAGGTATGTGCCACATAGCAACATTCTAATCAACAACAGACCACAAAGGTGATGGTGGTCCTATATTATGTGGCCAAGTAGTGTCAGAGCTGTCTTAGTTTGTGGACGTTCATTCTATGATGTCAACCACTGACACATTTCTCAGAACATTTTCCCATTGTTAATATGTAACTGTATAATAAAACATAGGAAATTACTGGAACATCTACTAGTAGAGAAATGAGTGAGAAAATTTGCATACAATTATTCATGGAATTTTACAACCAAAGAAAGTAATGAAAAGTAACAAATTTTTTTTTAAAAAATGTGTCAGTTTAGTAAGAATAAAAGGCCAAAAAACTGTAAAGAACATTCTGATTATATTATATAAAAAGATCTGTATAAAAAACAGACTGAAAACCAAATCATATACACACGCAAAAATAGTAACAGGGTAAGTAAGCTATGTTACAAGGTGGGATTTAGGTGGTTTTCTCTTCTCCACTTTCTAACATTTTTGCAAAAATAACATGGTTTTACTACCACTTTTCTAACAAGAAAAGAAGGATGCATGTCACAAGAGAAAAACCAGAATGACACTGTACAGGCAAGGGTTCAGGGCAGCAATTGAGGGCCGTGTGTGGACATCACAGAAGCACAGGGGGTGGCCCCATCCTGGCACTGAGCCTCCACCACCGCACACTAGGCAGGTGTTCTGGAACTAGATCATCTCTATAGTCCCTTCCAGGGTGAAAACTATATGATTTTTAAGTTGAACAACTAAGAAATTAAGAGAACAGACAAGAGAAAATGCATTTCTCTAGTAGTGGTATATGGAAGTGGTAGGAGAAGGGGTGTCTATGTATTAAATGTTAGTGCTTACTCCACTCAAAACAGTATAAAAGCAATATAGAGTTTTAATGGAATATTCCATGCCTCCCCCAGTTTTAAAAGATGCTCACAAATTACTGGAAAAAAGTCCCTGGCTGTAAACTTAAGTTATTTCTAAATAAAATAATGACATGAAATAAAAATGTCTAGAGGAGATAAGGCCACACTATTAGCTGCTCTATATGCTACAGCTAATCACTTCTCCAAGTGTTATAGGCCATTAGGATCTGACAGGAACACAGAAACCTCTGGGAGGAGACAGGCCTGCACTGGGCCTTACAGAATGGCAGCTGGGTTTCTTTTTTGGGGCAGGGGCAGGGGTGGTGGTGGCAGTGATGACAATGTTCTGGAATTAGATAGTGGTATAAGTTGTATAACCTTGTGAATTTACTAAAATCACTGAATTTTACACTTTAAAAGTGTGAGTTTTGGGCCAAGGATGTAGCTCACTGGCACAGCGCCTGTCTGGCAAGCATGAGGTCCTGAGTTCGATTTCTGGTACAAAAAAAAAGTGTGAGTTTTAGGGTAGGTGAATTTTATCAATTAAAAAAAAGATGTGATCAGAGATGGCTAAAAAAAACAGTGTGAGACAAACTCAAGATGCACTTAAGAGTAATGAGGAAAAAGACAGGTTGGAAGCAGATTGCAAAGAATTCTAACATAAAGGGTAACTGGAAATTATTCATAAGACAGTAATGGAAGCAAAGACTAATGGACAAAACAAGAAAGCTCAAAAGCTTGAAGGATATTGTCCCCACATGGCCGGAAAAACCAGCTCAGGTGAAAGGGTCATGTCCACATGAGAGGGGCTTCAGTGCCAGCCAGTGAGTTCAGGAGTGGACGAACACCTACTTCAAAATTCCTCTGGTTTTGTGTGAAGATTAAAGAAAAAGACAGGGCTGACAAAGAATCTAAGTACAAGAAAAAGAAGTCTAGGCCTATACAACTCAACTCCAACCAAGAGTATTTATAGAGAACTAAACAGGTGGGAAGAAACAAGAGATTGTGCCAGCCTGTTCTCTACCAATTATAAGAAATATATGTAATAGGCTTAAATGCAAAACAGTTTATATCTACATAAAACTAAGGCTCTGAACAGATTCCACTTGTATAAAAGAAAGAAAACAGAAGAAGGAAAATAAGTACAAGAGAAGGGAAGGTGAGGTGGCACTGTCTCTTTAAGAAGCTCCTTGGAGATGCATAACTGTAGAGAGCCTGGTGAATACAGCATTGATTGGGAATGAGGTAACCACAAACACCGCTGTCTCAAATGAAAAGGGATTCAAGATCTGACCCAGAAAACAAGCATCGTAACCACCAGATAAAATTTTAATGATAAACACAAGATGCTCCACATACAAGCAAGATTGAAGGATCTCATGCTAAGCCATAAACATGAGGTTCTCTTAGAAAGAGCGGCTGCGAGGAGCCTCTCTGACCCATGGCTCAAGTTTCATCTTATCGATCCACAAACTCTGCCATCGCTGGGCTTTGTGCTGCCTAATCTTTAATGCTGAACAGACCCCCAGGGACCCGGGAGGCAGGGAGAGCAGACTGACACCTGGCTGCAGAATAGGACGGGCCTGCCTTTCTTTTCAGGATCTCCCCGTCCAGATAAGAGACTCATAATTGGCATTCGGGAAGAAAGTCTCTCCTTTATTTCTAATCTCTTTCAGAGCTCTTTCAGTCATTCTCAGCAGTCTCCTCATCCTCAAGCACCTTCTTACACCTTAAGCAGAGACCCTTCTAAGGTTGAATGATCTAAAGCCTTTGTGCAGTTACCTGACTCTAAAATGCAGTTGGTGGAAAGCAGCTCTGTGGTCTATGCTTCAGCAATGAGGGCAGAAGCCTGATGTCGTACTGGGAAGGACAGAATTCCAGATTTCTTGTCCACTAATGTTTCTAAAAGTAACAGTTCTATAGCTCTCTCATGAAGGACATTAACCTCTAAATTGCAGCCAGTAAAACCGAAGTTAAATAAGTGACCCTCCCCCGGGGATATTTCGCTTAAAACAGAAATAATTCTTCATGGGCATAATAAACAAAAATATTTAAACAAGCTGTAATTTCACTTCAAATGGTGCTCCTGAAGGAATACCACTTAAATTTCTTTTCTTTAAGAAAATGACTCAGTGACTACAAACTGATAAAGTCCAAGATTGGATTTTGGTTTTGGTCTCCTATAGGCAGGCACTCACTCCACAGCTGGCCTAGACTTTGAAGTTTAAGGGTTCTGGTCTCTACTTTTTGGCATAGAATTTGAGACTGCAAAAGTATATAACTTAAGAGTTTACAATTTTAGACAGTAGCTCAAGACACTTTCCTAGTTGAGAAAGAAAACTGATCTTATTGTACATTAAAGAAACACATGAATATACTTCTGTATAGCAAAACACAAAGAATTCATGAAAGTGGCTTTTGGAACAGAAGCCAAAGGAATTTACAGAAGCTAAAATTAAATTTCTTGGCCATGGAGACACATACAAAGCCTAGTTCCGGAAAAGTTAAGTAGCAAATATGTATTATACGATAGGGAAGGAAGGTTACATGTGGCCACAGCCCTTACTCATAATAAAGGCTTCAGAATGCGAGAGGAAGAACAGGACCTGTTTGTGCCAACACTTATTATTCTTGCTTGACTTTTTTATGTCTTCATAAAATACAAACTGTTTGCCTTAATGAAAATCTAACATAATGTGCCACAGGAGTGATTTAAAAGCTAGGAAGACATATTGAGACAAATGGATTACAGATCTGCTCGACACCATTTGCTCCTCACCACTCACTGCCCTGCAGAGCCCTCCAATCCTAGAATAGGGAATTGTGGAGGTTTTCTACCTACACAGGCTCTCCTGGAGGAAGGAACAAGCTCTCAAGGGAAGGGAGTGCAGTCCATGAAAAATGGAAAGACCATGAGACGAAGAGCATGAGGTGAAATGGTTTTGCTTACCCAGCAATGACCACGCCATCGTGAGAATGCACATCACATAAAACTGCTTCAGGAATGTGTTCCAGCTCACTCACGGCACCTTTGCGATTCTGTGTAAGGAAAAGGGGGATGTAGTTTATATTCTTCTTGGGATATCAGGAAGGTAGACTGCACTGTCATCTATACTACACAGAGATTTTCTATGGCATGTACTGCATTCCAGCTACCTGGGAATTCAAAATGACAAAGGCGACAAGGAACATGTTAAACTATTAAGTATATCAGAGTCACCACAGACACAAAAGGCAATGAATTATAGGCACAGACGTGTGAGACGCTGGCCCTGTCCTCAAGGTGATCACCGAATACAAAGGAAATATGTGCACATAAATAACTACCGTCCACGGTAAGCTGGTAAGCACCTGCTGGTAGTCACAAGTATCTGAAAACCTGTATAAAGTATATTTAAAAGCTTAGTTCAGCAAAGAAATAGTAATGATATAGTTAGTATCTGTTAACTCTTACAAGAACTCTCTGAATAAAATGAAAAACTATAAAGATAAAGATCAGTGTGGAGGAAAGGAAAAATTACTTTTCTGACTGAAAGGTGAGATTTCACAGAAATGGTCTTTAAGGAGAACCCTAGCTGGCTTGATGACACACACCTGGAAAGCTGAGGCAGGATGATCCACAAATTCAAGGCCGTCTAGGGCAACTTAGTGAAACTCTGACTCAAAAAATAAAATAAAAGGTCTGGGGACAGAGCTCAGTGGTGGAGCACTTTCCTAGAATGTGCAATCCCCAGTACCACAAGAGCAGAGCAAAGACGAGCCGAGGCAGGCTAAGTCCAAAGCTGGCTATAGTGGCATATACCTGTAGTCCCAGCTACTCAGGAGACTGGGGCAGGAATATCTTACGTTTGGGGTCAGCCTGGGAAACCTTTCTCTTATAAAAACAAAACAAAGTCACAGGAAAACACTAAAACCTAAAGTTGGGCTACTGTTGAGGAGAACCACGTAAGTGGAAGGAGAGAGGGACAGAATATTTTCTACTATGTACCCTTATGTGACTTTTGAATTATTTTACCATGATCATTGATTGTTGGTTCAGAAAATAGATATCAAATAATTATTTTTAAAATAAAAATACAATAAAGAGAATTTGAAGGGACATAAAGTATTCACATGTAGAAGGTTGGGAAGAGTTAAGATAGTTAAGCCAAAAGCAATCATAAATACAGGTACAGTGTTCAAAAGTAGTTAAGTGATCCATAATTTCAGTTTTGCTGGTCTGGCATGAGGATTATAAATAGTGCACATACGTGCCATGCAGAGTAAGTGGTAACTACTAGTATTATATTATTGGGGAAAAATACGACATTCGTTCCATTAAAATCAACCCTTATTAAGCAGCTAGTATTAAGCCACTCCAGAAATTGGGCAAGATAATTTTCAGAATGATCCTAACTTAGCTCAGTGGATTTAGCTCACTGGTTCCAGTGCCTGCTTCACAAGCGCAAGGACCCGAGTTCAATCCCTGGTACCAAAAAATAAATAAATAAAATAAAATAAAATAAAAAAATACAAGGGCCTAGGCTAAAGCTAAAGGACAAAACTGGACACACCCAAGAGGAGCTATCCAGCTAGTGGAGCTATGGGGAGGGGAGGGAAGACACATTTACAATAGAAGAGGTCTGGAGATTTAGCTCAGTGGTTGTGCCGCCTGCCCTGCAAGCGCAAGGACCCAAGTTTGATCCCTGGTACCAAAAAAAAAAAAGAAATACAATACAAGAGCACTTCAGAGGGCAAAGCTATTGAAAGAAAAGAAGAGCCTAAAATGAAAACTGTGTGTTTTCAGCACTTACTAATTTCTGTCCTATGGCTTCCCTCTCCACCTTGGGGCTCTAACTTCACACTGATATTCTAGCTACAGAGAGATTCTACCATCCCAGGGAAAAAAAAGCAAACACAAACACCAGGAAGAGGAACAGCCCAAATCCACTTTATCAAGCCATTTCCAGGTCCACTCTGAACTGCAGGACCAGGCAAGTCCATGCATTTATAAGTCATCCCATATATGCAGGGACCTGAGGATTCTGGAGTCCTTTCTGGGGTTTCTCCACACTGTCCTAGGAGATACTAATCTAAATCATCTGCCCAATCCCTCCTGAAGCTCACCACAGACAGGATGAACTACTGTATCTGCATGCAAAGGCTTACGAGTTTCCAGAGCCAACTCTGCCTGAGCACGGAAGACAGGCCAGCTTCCGTAGAAGGAGCGGCAGCTAGATGTATCACAATGGTCACCCCTGCCATAGCAAGAAGCAGTGTCACTCTCACCCCACGCTAGAGATGAGAAAATGCAGGTGTGCAAAGGTTAAGCAGTTTGCCCTCATTCTCTCTTTCACGTTTTGATAACGCGTTCTTTCCTTCTAGAATTACACTACGAATCCCACTATTACATGTAACAAGACTCCATTTAAAATTTCACCCATGCAGCCTCCATTGTTAATAATATCAAGAATTGGGTCTGAAATGCCAAAAGCATCCTTCACATTCTGCCTGCAGTTCTAACCAGTTCACTCAATGGATGACCATTTACTGAACACAGATGGTTTTGTGTGTGACAGAGAAAAACAATAAACATTCAGTAAGTTGCATATACCTTGTAGAATGTTATTAGGTGCCACATGCTACGAGGTGAGTCTTTAACCACCTTTGCTTCTGCCACCTCCTGTCCAAATGAAGATGTACTGCCTGCCTTCCTGGCTTTCTCTACCACCAAAGAGGCACCAAAAACTTGGCTGCTGCTCTCTTTCAGAGCCTGACATCTTTAAACTTGAGCCAGGGGATACTGAATGTCGGCAGCTCTCATGCTCACAAATTGGATAGTATCCCTCCTTTCTAGAAAGAAAGGCAGAGTTAACTCAATCCTCAAGCTTTCCTTAACCCGTGGCCCCTTTCACTAAGACCAGACCCTCTGCTTTCTCCTCCACCCCAGGCCCCTGTTTTTCTGAGCAGCTTTATAAAACCTCTCACCTATGTCCAGAGCTGTGGATGCAAACGGACACCAGGGGGCCAGCATGACTTACTTAGCAGTGTGTTTTAACATCCTAAAAAAGAAAAGCTAAGCAAGAAAAAGAAAGAAAGAAAAGCTATGCTAATGCTCCTTAGGACCAGTGGGTGACAGCCAGGGGCAATCCTCCCCACATCCAATCTGGCAATATCTGAAGACATTTTGAGTTGTCTCCACCGAGGAGAGGAGACTGCTAACTGTAGTCTAGTGGGCAGAGGCCAGGGACGTACATGGCTTTGGCATTCTGCAATGCACAAGTCAGTCCCCCATAAAAACAAAGAGCTGGCCCCCTGTCACTTATATGTCAGGTCGAGCAACCCTGAGTTAGAGAAACGCTGCTGTCACTGATGTTGCTGGAACTGCACAAGGTTGCCCTGACCAAGATTATTGGTCACTAATCAGGTTATGAGGTGACTAGGGACAGAAATGCACACAGGCAATATGTCACCATCAATAATGAGCAAAAGCTTGTTCATCTCAAAGTCTATTAGGATTGACCTTAATAGGCGAGGAAAGAGCACAGTTCTCTCTCTTTTCTACAAGTGACTATCCAGCTGCCCAGGTGGGAAAGAAGCACTGCCACACATCGCCACCTTGTCGTGCCTCATACAGCTCTATGTGACATGTTTCTTGACAGTTATCTCCTACAGAAACACTTTCTGGGAAAATTCTTAGCTGTCATCTAATACTGCTGTAGAGATTTAAAGTGATAAATGCTAGGGCAGCAAGCCAATGGGTTATATGAGGGAAGAGCAGACTGTATGCAGAGCCACACAACAACCTCCCTCTTAGAGCTACTGCGATGGCATGTGCAGTGCCTCTGGTGTGCAGGTGCCTTCTCTTCCACCTTCTTGGTCCCTCTGGGGAGGTGATGAAAGTAAAGGGGGGCTACACTGCACTTGACTAACCAGCAAAGGGTAAGTGACCGGCAGCTCAAGCTCAGCCTTCCTGTCCTGGACAGCAGGAGAGGCTCTCAAACCTTGTACATGTAACAGGTACAGATCTTCTAAGGGAGAAGAAAATGGGTACCAAGTCACCCAGCCGAAGGGGCTGCTCAGCACAGCCTGCTCCCTTTGGTTCTGGCAGTCAGCCCCCACAGTAATGGAAGGCTTGGCCCCCATGTCTGTGCAGGCCACAGGTAACTGCCACAGGTAACGCTACTGGCCACTGCCTACCTTCCAGTTGGTTCTTAACATGTGCTCCCTGGCTTGGCACTCTTGGAAGATGAGCTTCCAGCAGGAATAATCCGAGATGCTGCTCTCCGGAAGGTGCCCTTCCTGCTGGCACAGCCTGTACCATAGCACCTCATCTTCGGCAATCACCTTCCACATCTTGCTCACCTAAAACAGCACAAGTGACACAAATGTCAAACTCTGCAATTAGAGAGGCCTCTTACCATCCAAAAATCAATCAACACCTATATTATTGCCCTGGGTTTATGGCAGTATAAAATGTCTCATTAACAAAACACTCTGAGGTGGAAAAAAATACAAGCAAATGTTTCCAGTTTTATCTTTCAAGATTTCAAAACTGTTGTAGCACCATGTAATATCACATTTTAGACTGCCTGCTTAAATTATTACCTAACAAATGAGAGAGGAAAAAAGTACACAAATACATAAAATGTAGCAAAAAGCCCAAACTTTAATATGGTAATTAGCTACATATGTAATCATACACAGCTTTTCAGAACACAGTCTCTTTACTGTTTAAAAATGGCACTGGTGCTGTGTTATACATACAGGGAGATGAATGGCCTCTTAAATACTTGGCTATAATAAAATAAATGCTCATAAGTCAAATTTCTGGTTATATTAAAAAATTCTAATTTATGAATATATGAGAATTTAAGATTTTAAACATACAGATTTTTTCTTTTTTCTTTTTTGGTACCAGGGATCGAACTTGGGATCTTGCGTTTGTGCGGGAGGCGCCGGAACCACTGAGCTAAATCCCTGGCCCCTAAATATATAGATTTTTAAAGATATTTAACACAAAACTCAAACTGTTAACCAGAACTGTTAAGATCTGATAGAAATTAATGTTATATCTGGCCCAAATCTCAAATCCCAACAGTATCTAGAAGAAATGGCTGTTTTAGCTATTAGTATTTTGTTTTCCAACTCTAATTTAAGGGAATAATGGATTTACTTCGTCACAGGATAATGTATAATTGTGGCCAGGCCGCAAAAGGTGGACTCTGCTGACAAGATGAGAAACCAGTGCAGCAGATTAACATGATCCATACACAGCATGTGCTGGTAACACAGGATCAAGGGCTCCATGCTTGCTGCCTATTCTAAGGCTGAAACTTACTCCTATAAGCTGAGGGTGAGGACCAGTAGTTTACCGGAACCTGTGCTTTTCAACAACCCCACGGGACCACTTCACAACATCAGAGACAGGAGTAAGAAGAGACAATATGAGACAGGGTGAGAGCGAGTTAGTACAGGGCAGACTAAAAGCCCGAGGGCACCTTGGCTGATGAAGTACTACAGGGAGCTAATTTGCAGGATGGCAGAGTAAAGACCCCAAAAAAATCTCTTCTCCATAAGAGCAATAAGAATACAGTACTGCCAAAAATACTCACCATCAACTTTTCCAGGGCTCTGAAAATTAATGAAAGGCTTAAAACCTGCTAAGGGGCATATATTCGAGGAAAACAAATGGCTGTATCTCAGTAAGAACTGACCTGTGAGTTGTTTTAACTTGCATTTATTCCATCTCCTCTCTAACTCCACGGTAGTCTTGAAAATCAACAGCCTCACAACCATGGTTGATATAAAAACTACTAGGCTGGCAGCCACTGACAAGCCCAGATGGGTTTAGAACTCCCTGAAAATCTAACATCCAAAGAAATAACTGTCACCACATGACCTGCCTGACAGCTGGCTGGGAACCGCTATTCTCAAGGGTTGTCTTCATCTGACCTGAGTCCTCTCTCTGTTCTATCTCGAGCCATTTGTTCCAAACAATCAGTGTTAAATAACTTTAACACTGCATCTGCCTGAGGAGTTACTGTCAGTTCAGGTTAAGGACAAGCTAACCCTAACGCTTAAAAGAAAAAATGGAAATGGGATATCCACAGGGTCTCTGAAGGGCTCTGATATATTCCTTGGAGTCTGGAGTGTCATGCGTATGTGCAGCACTGTGGACATGCCCTGACTGCCCAATCCCAGCTGACCCTGAAGCTCTGTACAAAGCAGGAAGTGAAGGCCAAGGCAGAGCTGTAAACTGCCAGGATGGTGAAGGGGTGCCTGGCATACAGGCTGCCTCAACAAAGCTTGGCGACTTACTGGCTCGATGCATTTAAGAAGTCTCTGTCCACTCCCTAGCTAACCAAGCAGACTCTAGAGGCCACATCCGATAAAGAATACAGAGCACAGGGTCGGCCACGCAGACGCCAAAGAGGCCGAGGGCCTCCCCTCCTGCCCTCGTCCGGGCGCCCGCAGCGGGTGAGGACGGCCCGGCCCCTCAGCCTGAGGCGGGAGCACCCGGGTGCTCCGGCGCCCCCTCCCCACCAGCTGCTGCCCGAGCGCAGCCTGGGCCGCTTGAAGGGTCGCTTTGAGGAGGACGACAAGGAGCTGGAGGATGAGGAGCTCGAGGAGGAAGAGGAAGAGGAGGAGGAAGAAATGAGCCATTTCTCGCTGAGGCTGGAGGGGGGCCGGCCGGACTCGGAGGATGAGGACGAGGAGGAGGAGCGCCTGATTAATCTCACCGAGCTGACCCCATACATCCTGTGTTCCATTTGCAAGGGTTACCTACCTAATAGATGCAACTACCATTACAGAATGCCTTCAAACCTTTTGTAAAAGCTGCATTGTAAGACATTTTTACTATAGCAACAGATGTCCAAAATGCAACATAGTAGTACATCAGACACAATCTCTTTATAACATAAGGTTGGACCGACAGTTGCAAGACATAGTGTACAAATTAGTGATCAATCTAGAGGAAAGAGAAAAAAAGCAAATGCATGATTTCCATAAAGAAAGAGGTCTAGAAGTACCTAAACCTGCTGGGCCACAGACAGCCCCTTCAAGCAAAGGAAAAACTAAGAAAGTCCTAGAATCAGTGTTTCGTATTCCACCTGAACTAGATATGTCTTTATTACTGGAATTCATTGGTGCTAATGAAGGCACAGGACATTTTAAGCCATTAGAAAAGAAGTTTGTCCGAGTTTCAGGAGAAGCAACTATTGGGCATGTAGAAAAATTCCTCAGAAGAAAAATGAGTCTTGATCCAGCTTGTCAGGTGGACATCATCTGTGGCGACCACTTGCTGGAGCGGTGCCAGACTCTGAGGGAGATCCGGCAGGCAGCAGGGGAAGCGGCCATGCAGGATGGTCTGCTTGTTCTTCATTATGGTCTTGTGGTTTCTCCTCTGAAAATAACTTGAAGAGGCAAGGAGGGGAAGACAGTAAGGAGGCTTCTGCAGGACTGCATTTCACCAAAGATTTCCACGGAATATATCACCACCACCACTCCGCGCTGTTGACATAGCGAACCTATTTTTAGCACCAAGATACAACTTGGGACGTGGAATGCATCTGTTTCATTAGAGACCATATATAAAAAGCACCAGAGCTCAGGGGAAACTTTTCAAAACATTGAATTGTGATTCCAGATACTTTGATTTTCGCTTCCCGTCTTTGAACTAAATTGGTTACTGTTTTCTCCTTTGTCAAGTGTGTGTCCCTTTCAGGTTGGTGGTTGGGCAGGCGTCCTTTTGGGAAAAGAAAGCGTGCTTGTGGACAGGAGGCTCAGAGCTGCCCTCTGCTCAGCCGCAGGGTGTGCGTGGAAGACCAGAGCGGCGGGCTGCTTTGGAGCTTCTGCATGTTGCCATCATCTTTCGAAGTTGCGTCTGTTTTATTCATCCTAGCAACACTACTGCGCAGGCGTCATTCAGTTCTAGAGTAGATGAGTTACCGCTATTCTGTGAAGACTGTTTCCTGTAGGGTTTATTGCCCGCGAAAAAACCCTTCAGTATAATAAAACTTCTTAACATATTTTACAATAAGAGGTGCTTATTTGTGATTATGTTTTAATTTTATTTGCATACATGCTATGGTTGTCACCTTGTAATGACATTGCTTCTTTTCTTTTTTTTTGGTCCCGGGGATCGAACTCGAGTGCTTGCACTTGCGCAGCAGGCCGCGAAACCACTGAGCTAAATCCCCGGCTCAATGATTTGTTGTTTATCTGAAACTCAAATGTAGTTAGGAAATGAGAGATTCTTTTTTTTTTTTTGGTACCGGGGATCGAACTCGGGTCCGTACGCTTGCGCGGCAGGCAGCGAAAGCACTGAGCTAAATCCCCAGTCCTGACATTGGTTCTGAAAGAATAAAAAATTCAGGTGAATTTCAGAAGTTTATAGAATGCTTGTCGTTTCCTCAGTAAAACAGCTTAATGTTCCTCTTCCCATTATTTTTCACTGGGATAAAGAATAAGGGTGTTTAAAAAAAAAAAGAAGAAGGGTGTTTGAGAGCTTACTTTCATGCAAAGAGTTCCATTTTAAACATTATTTTGTCTAAAATCAGCATTTCAGTGCTTTCTAAACGAAATATTTTATAAACTTTATTTCATAGCAAACCAAATCTGTAGAGAAACTCTCAAAGTTAGATAAGGACTGGCAATTGTTTTGTAAAGAATTTGTGAATTGTGTGTAAATCTCTTCTAACATTTAATAAAAATTTATTTTAGCCTAAAAAAAAAAAGAATACAGAGCACAGAGCAGAGAGTCAGTCCAGGAAAGTCTTTAATAAACAGCAGCAACCAATAGCAACAACAGCAGAAAATTCTGTGAAGGTAGGAGAATCTGGTTTCCAGAATTGTGACATCGTTATTTTAAATAAAATATAATATTTTCTAATTAAAAAGTATAAGACATACAAAGAAATAGGACAGTAGGACCTATGCATGGGGAAAAAAGGCAGTCAATAGAAAATGTCTTCGAGGAAGTCCAGACAATGGATTTAGTAAGCAGAGATTTTAAATCAGCTATTAAAAATGTTCCAGGGCCGGGGATTTAGCTCAGTGGTTCCACCGCCTGCCCCGCAAGTGCAAGGACCTGAGTTCAATCACCACACCAAAAAAAAAAAAAAAAAATGTTCCAAATACTAAAAGAAAGCAAGTATAAAGAAATAGAAGCAACATATAAGAATAATATCTCACCAAAACAGAATATTGGTAGAGATAGAAATTATTTAAAAAAGCAAATAGCAGTTCTGGAATTGAAACATAAAGTAATTGAAACAAAAATTTATTTAGAGGCACTCAATAACAAATCTGAGCTGGCAAAAAAAAAAAAATCAGTAAATTGAAGATAGGTCAGTTGAGAT